ATTACATGGGAACTTTGGAAGAAAAGGAATACAATAAAGAATGGAGGTGCAATGTCTTACAATAGGCTGATACATGAGGTGAACAAGACATTACATTACCTAGAAAAAGTGAGATATCCATGGCTTCCAGGCATTCCTCTATTATGGCAAGATATGATTAAATTCTTTGAAGACTATAAGCCTTATGTCGTGACTAAAAGAGTAACATAGCAGCTTCCTTGTGAGTGTTGGTTCAAATGTAACATAGATGGTGCATCAAGAGGTAATCCTAGACCTAGCTACTATGGCTTTTATGTGTGAGATTGTGGTTGTGACTTGGTGTTTGCTAAGGCAGTAGAGATAGGAGAGGCAACAAATATTGTGCCAGAGGCAAAAGCAATAGTTGAAGGATTGGCATACTGTGTTGATAAACAGCTTCACCCTCTTATTCTTGAGACTGATTCTTTGGTGATGAAAAGATCATTGAGGATGAATGGGAGTCTCCTTGGTGTATAGGGGCATAAGTGAAGAAGATTAAGGAGATAAAGAGCACCTACAATGTGCTCTTTCAGCATGTGCTAAGGGAGGGCAATGATGTTGCTGATTTTTTTAGCTAACCTATTTTTTCTTTTGCAAGTACAATCACATTTCTTTCATTTCAGGACCTACCTACTATAGGAAAAACTCTAGTGAACATGAACAAATCACAAATACCTAACCTTAGGGTCAGGGTTGCCAAGAGGAAAGCACCAGATTGATGACGAAATCTTTGAGTTCATTGCTTGTTATTGTCATTGCCCATTTTTCTTCTCATATCTGTATAGTATGTAGCTACTGTCAAGTGGTATTAGCATGACAACATGCTCATTCTGTAGGTAGTGCTACATTGTATGGAACCTTTAAGGCAAACAGGCAAGACATTAAGTCAACTACAAGATTACAAAGTAATATTCTACTACTCATTAAGGTTTGGTACTGTCTTTTACTTAGTGTTACTACTGCACGATGGACTCTCATTGATACACACTTTGTGTATGAGTTCATACTGTGTGGAAGTAGACTGGACATTGGTACTAATGCTAAGGCACAAGGACAACTGTTGTTTGTTACTCTTGACTATCTAATAGGTTGTATATTGTTCTATCATTTTCAAGTGCTATTAGTGTGGTTTCATGCTCATTCTGGAGATGAGAAGGCAGTATATAACTCTAATTTACTAAGCAGGTAGTTGTTCTTTCATATATTTGTATGTGCATCTACTAGCTACTGTTCTGCAAGTTTCATAACTGAGTATAATGAGGCCTACTTTTCTTGGAGATGGAGATCAAAATGAGGAGTTCAAGCTGGATTAACACATGTGTCTAGCAGTTCTGGATAACTTCTATACAGTGGTGTGCTTGTTTGGAATCCACATTTGCCTTGTCCATTAGGATGTCGTCCTATGAAATGCATAACCTAGCGCCTGGTGAGAACTTTGGAGGTTCTACTCTTTGGTTATTACCTTTGGCCTTTGGATTCACTTACACTATTTGTTTTTGGAAGCAAACATCCTACTTCATTGTAATAGCTAGCTTAGTAGTTTTAATCTTCTATACTACTAGCTAGTTGTAGTCTTCATGTTTTACATTTGTTTGGACATATTGTAAGACTTGGATCCATGTTTTTGGGGATTTTATACATATATATTAGGCACTAGGCATCCTGCCTAGTGATATATTTGCTATAAAAAAAATTGACCCACAAATGAGGTTCTTTGCCTTAGAGAATTTTATTTGTAAGGTTCTAATCTAATAGGTGTATCTCTTATTAAGCATAAAACAACCTTTATCATTTCATCATACTCGTGGTTAATATTTCAGAACCAATAAAGTATAAAACTTTGAATATGTACTAAAATTTGTGTTTAAGATGCTATTTCTTGTCCATGTTCTATGTTAATTAGACAGTAATATATGCATTTGTGATAGTTGTGTACGGGTAAAATCGGGAATAATATTACCCCCGATTTTTCGGTAAAGAAACGAGAGGGAAGCATGATCTGACACGACCTTGGGTAGTTACGAGAGGTTCCGCATCTTAGAGCCCGGAGAGGAAGAATGGTGCACCCGGGGCCGGATACGGCATAGCACCAGGCCCGAGATAAGGGAAAAACGGTTTGACACAATAAGCGGGGAGCCGTAATATCTGCCCTCACGGATGTTAGGCACAAATCTCGCCCGATATCAACTACAGATCAACGTCACTAGAAGAAGAAATTTTGTTACCTTATTTAGACTTGTACTAGGATTGAAACTCTCATACTATATAAAGGGGAGAACCTTCTCATTTTAAATACACTGTTGGAATGCATGTCAAAGTAACAAGAGTTCATTTTTGTCCTCTAGCTACTGTTCATAGTGTTCTTCAGTTGCTTATTTATTTGGTTGTAACCGAGCCCATCTCGAGGGCTCGACTGAGGTCAATTTTCATTGTTCATCTAAAAGACGGGCTTAATTGTTCATCAAGTTTGGTTTGATAGTTTAGTTTCACTTTACTTTAATTATTTTGTGTTCATAGATCATTTTTATTAAATTAAATAACGTATCCTTTAATTGCGTACAAATTTAATTGTTACTTATTTTAAGGGTAAACAGTTTGACACCCACTGTGGGGCTAAAGATAATAGTGGCGATTTAATATGAATCTCCATAACACACCCTACTTTACACTTGCTCTTTGACGATTGGTTTCAGGTTAATCTAAAAATGTCAAATTCTCAGTCCGCTCACTTGAACGTTGACATCGAGTCAGGCCATCACGGTGAAAACAATAACGTGGTATTCAACAATGACGTACCCTCTGTTGAACCCAATGGTGTCCCAATTGCTGACCCCGTTGACACTAACTCACAGGTTGCCATCAACATCAACCTGCTAACTGACCCCGAAAATAGCATTCGCAGGGCTCCCCTGCCGTCGGCTCGAGAAGCACCCAAAGGGGAAGGTGATGAGTTAGCTTGCAATTGATTTTCTCTATAGTACAAGCTCAGCAAGCAGCAATAGCACAACTACAAACCTAAAGTCATGCCCATAACAGGACTAAGCCCGAGCGGGTTAGAGAAAACGCTCGAAGGGAGGAACAAATCGTTGTCGAACCGGATGGGTTTGGGTCCGGGGAAACTTCTGAGCTGATGAAAATGCTCAAAACACTAAACGAAGCGGGTGGAGTATGGCGAGGAAAGGATAAAGGAAAATGACAAGAAGGTGGAAACTTACAATTCGAGGGTCGACCAAATCTCGGGAGCGCCTCCAATATTGAAAGGGCCGAATTCCAAAAAATCATTCAGAAGCCTTTCCCCCAAGTGCAGCCCGAAGCCAATTCCACAGAGATTCCGAATGCCCGACATTCCCAAATATAACGGGACCATAGATCCAAATGAGCATGTAATCTCCTATACATGCACAATAAAAGGAAAAAACCTAGAAGATGACGAGATCGAGTCGGTTTTATTGAAGAAATTTGGGGAAACCCTGTCTATATGAGCGATGAAATGATACCATCAGAATATAACTTCAACCTGGACGCTGCAAGTATAATATCGGCCAATGGCCGCATCAAGGAGACAAAATGGCCTAGGCCACTTCAGTCCGATCCCAAATAGAGGGATCACAACTTGGTATGTAAGTACCACGGTACTCATGGTCATATGACTAAAGATTGTCGATAGTTAAGAGAGGAAGTGGCTCAACTATTCAACAACAAGCACTTTCGAGAATTCCTAAGTGAACAGGCCAAAAATCATTTCAAAAATAGGGACGCCAACAAATAGATTGAGCAAGAGGAGCCTCAACACGTGATCAACATGATCATTGGGGGAGTGGATGTCCCCCAAGGGCCAATGATAAAGCACACCAAAGTTTCTATCACAAGGGAAAAACACACCGGGGATTACGTCTCGGAGGGCTCCATTTCGTTTAGTGACGACGATGCCGAGGTCATCATCCAACCTCATAACGATGCATTGATAGTATCTGTACTTATTAATAAATCTTGAGTTAAACGTCTATTAATTGATCTAGGTAGCTCGGCCAACATCATCCGATGGAGGGTCGTAGAGCAATTGGGATTATTAGACCAAATCATACCGGCAGTTCGAGTATTGAAGTTCAATATGGCGTGCGAGACAACGAAGGGTGAAATAGCCCTATTAGTAAACACTATCGAGACCACCCAGGAAACAAAATTCTACATGATCGAGGGGGATATGAGGTACAACGCCTTGTTTGGAAGGCCATGGGTTCACAACATGAGGGCGGTGCCTTCAATCCCACATCAAACGTTGAAATTTCCCACGCTGGGAGGAATCAAAACGGTCTACAGGGAACAACCGACCACAAAGGAGATGTTCGCTGTCGAAGAAGTAATTTCGGTGCCCGTGGTCTCGACATTAAAAAGTAAGGGACTGGTCGAAGAGAAGAAAACCAAAAGCAATCAACGATCCCGACCCTGACCGGGTCGGAAAAACAAGAGGAGCACACGACAAACGAGGAGGATAATTACGGTGTCCCAAGATCCTTTATAGCACCCGATGATACCGATGCCACTAAATCGACGATCGAGGAATTGGAGCAGGTGTAAACCCGAGAAGAGTAATTGTATATATACCCATCAAAAGTCTTTTCTTCCTCTAATATGGAACAATGTCCTTTTGTTTAGGAGGGAAATTCAAATATTTCATTTTTCCTCCATTGTCTATTTACTCTTTACTTTAAGCTAACCAAGCTTAAATCCAACAAGCGTAACTTATCCCAGCATAACCTGTATATTCAAACCAAACGACCCTCGAGTGTTTTTGTTACTTTTTGAAGCTTACTAGTAGTAGAAAAGTTTTCAAATTTTCACAGGACTTACGGTATGCCTTTGATAGTGCTTTCAAAGTATCTACGATAGACTAGGTTAGATAAGACTTAAATGTGAGTTACTTTTGGTTATAATACGGAGTCAGCTGTATTTTCTAGTAATTCTTCCTTTAATTTATGTGTCTGATTTGGTAGATTAACAAATAACAAGTATTTTTTAATATACTTCTAATTCTTTCGGATTTTTCGTTGGACTCTTCCTGGTCCTGTCCCTTTATACTCCATTTTACATAGTGAATTTTCTTTGTCACGCCAATGAACAATGTGTGTTTCACGAAGAAGAGCCTGAATCGGGAGAAGAAACGTCCGAAATCCAAATTGAAGCTTCAACGACCATAAACCCTTTTCGTTTGGTCGCAAGTGGAACATCATCGGCTGTTTTTTCCATCAAAGTCACTTCCGTTGTCCATACAAGTAAGTCTTTTTGGGGGTTCTCGGTTTTGTTTTCTTCCCTTTGCAAATGGACTATTTGAATTTGTTAATTTAAGAATTGAAGTAGCTAACTTAATACTGAAAAAAGGCTGATAATTGATAATTGTTGGACCTTTTAAACTGCTATGTATTGGATGGAAATAAAATTCTGAAGGGTTAGGGGAATGAATTGTGCAAGCTCAACTTTAGTTCGTGAACATGCAGATTATATACCTTTTTAAACGGTTCAGTTAGAAGATGGTAAACAAGTGTATTGTGAACCTTTACATATCTATTGTTTCTAATATTCTCTTAACAAGTGCTTGTTGAACACATAGGCACATACATAAATACACTGTGCTTCGTTTCCTGGCTGGATTCTGCGTACAATAGGATGTTTCTGACCAACAGCTTTATTGGGGCATATACGTGGGCGACCTGATCAATGATTTTAAGTCTGTTGGTAGGAAGGATTACTAGGTTCCACCACTTCTTTATTGGATTGGGTGTAAACTTAGTACCTAATATAATGCATCTGATCCTGTACTGGAGAAGACATTTTCGATAAATTTTTTAAAACTTTGGGTGATGTTTGGTTTATGAAAAGAGCATTGTCTTATTGGATAATGTGCATCATTTTGGTGTGGCAGTGAACTTAGAGACTGGAGCTGCTACAATAGATTGTTCTGCTGAAAGCCAGTTAGTTGCATGTGAGGATAATGTGGTTAGGGAGCCATTTATTGGAATGGAGTTCGAGTCAGAAGATGCTGCCAAAGGATTTTATGATGACTATGCTAAGCGTGTTGGGTTTATCATGCGCATTGATCAGTGCCGGCGTTCAGAAGTCGACAAGAGAATCCTTTCACGACGACTTTCATGTAACAAGCAAGGCTATTACGTGAAAATGAAAAACCATTATGGACCACCTAGAAAAACACGCACTAGCACACGAGAAGGGTGCAAGGCAATGATGTTGGTAAAGGTTAACAAGTCTGATAAGTGGGTTGTGACGAGATTCGTGAAGGAGCATACCCATCCATTGATTGCTTCTGGATGTTCTTCTCGTAATGCAATGGTAAGGGTGACTAGGTTTATAATAAAGAACACTCTTTGTGGTTCATCTTAAGTTTACTCGTCCTTTGGTCTCAGTTTAATCTTATAAGTCAATATACTTTGTGTCACCTCATGAAAGATGTTAGTGCACAAAATCTGAAGGGAAAATATTATATGCGGCCTGCCTTCAGTTCTTAGATCTTCTCTTATTTGAGATACAATAACTCATCTAATCTAGCTGCTACAAAGCCTTCCAAAATTCTTAAGGATTAGGAGAAAAGGGGTTGGGTGATTGAACAGTTATCAATTGGTTTTACCAGTAACTCTCTCTCTCTATCCTCTATCTTGCATTATTCTGTTTGTCATGCCCATGCATAATCGTCATTGCCATTTAAATACAGCTTAGGTGCTGTATAACGAAAAATGTAGCAGCCTGGATATTTATCTTATTGCAGTTTCGCTTGCTAAGTGGTTCAGGCAGCTGTACTATCCCTCAATTTGTGTTTGATTTTGAGCATGTTTTTAAGAATTCCCTACTTGGAGTTCAGGCGCATCTTAATGATGATTATAAGATGCAGCTCTCTGTCGATAAGATTTGAATGGCATCAAAGGATGGAAAGCTTTGCAGACCACAAAATGGCAAGATTGGTGCTTAACCTTTGCCATCTATACTTTCAAACACCCCATACAGTTCCGTCCATCTTGGAGTCCAAAGATCATAGAATGGGTAATTTCCCGATAACTCATTCATTTTCTGATCCGGCTAATCTGAAAGCCTAGAACATCTTGTATTGGTTGGTGTATTTTCCTGATGTAGTTGTCCATTCATGTTGCACGCTGGCGCAGTTAGCTTCAAACTGAAAATACCTTGATACACAATCTCGGGAAAGCATATTTTCATCATCTAGCTTGGCTGTAGGGGCCAAAAAAAGGAGGAAAAATACGTATCCTTTCCATGGATGAGCTATAGTGTCAAGAGCATAATCCAAGCAGCTTCATTGCTTTTGATTAGTTCTGCTGAGTTCAAAATATAAATGTTGAGGTGCTTTTACATGCTTTTGACAAAATTTGAAAATTAGTTACCACTGTCAATTGACTGAGACTGAGTTGGAGTTGATTGATAATATTTGCAAGCGAAACTGCACGCATTGTTTCTGCCAGTCTGTCTCCATGTTTTTCTCCTATTTTTCCCTCTCTTCTTTTTTGATAACATTGGTATTTGGGCCATCTTGCACGCACTTCGACTAATTCCACGAGGTACCTGCTGCCTCCTACCAGCACAGGTACCAGGTAACTCTGTCGATCAAGGTTTGGACAGATGGGAAGAAATCACCAAGTGCTTTTGCTTCTGTTAGGATTTGAACCTGAGGCCTCATGGTTTTTAACCCACTTCATTGACCACTAAGCACACCCTTTCCCTTGCTTCCTCTCCGTTTTCTCATTCTTCTCTTTTTGTCTCTATCTCTCATTCATTTCTTTTCTTCTTACTCTCTATTTTCTCCGGTACTCCTATTTCTCTGTTCTTCTCCCTTCTAGTGCTCCACCACCTTTATGATATATTCAGCCTAAGTGAAATATTTTGAAAAGAATAGCATGGCTTGATCCGCATTTAAAGTGGCCTTCTAAATTTCTCCAAATGTCCTATTAGTAACACTATAAGGCCGGTAATGTTATATGGCAGTAAATGTTGAGCTGCTAAAGTCTAACATATCCACTAAATGAGTGTTGCAGAGATGCAGATGCTAAGATGGACGTGCGATAATACAGATTAGATAAGATTAAAAATGACCACATTTCGCCAGAAGGTACAAGTAGCACATATTGAGGATAAAATTTGAGGTCGCTTGAGATGCTTTGGTCATGTCTTGCGTTGCCCTACCAATGCACCGGTCTCTAGGTGTGAAACTATGGTGAGTGAAGGTGTTAAAAGGGGACGAGGTAGACCTAAAACCACATGGAAGGAAGTTGTCTTGAAAGACCTACAAATCCTTGGAATTTATGCACACTTATCTAAAGATAGAGCACAATGGAAGAAAAAGATCCATATAAGTGATACTCTTTTGTTTTTGCTCATCACTATTTCTCATGATTAATTTGCTCCCGTGGCTACTAATTTTCTACGTTTGACATGCCCACATAGCTCTCTTCTTTTCTGTGTTTTCTTGGGCACCAATACCCGCATTTTACACTTTCTTAAAGGTTGACTCCTCTGCTGAAGGAGTTACTAAAACAGAGGGACTTTTTGGAATTTAAAATTTTAACACTATTTCATTCCATTTCCTGTCATTTTATTCCACCACTAATTTGCAGCTTCCAGTCCTCTGTCATTACAGTTGCAAGTTTTTCTCTCAACTGTTTGTCCCAGAAAAAAAGTTTAGCTGCTTTATTTTTCATTTTTTCATTTTCATACTACTTTGGATGTTAAGGTGAAAGCTAAGGGTTAACGAGTGGAAGATTAAATACAAAAGTAGAAGTAGAGGAAGAAGCAATACTTCATGTAGAATAATTACTACTGGGTTTACCGCAGATTAACTAGAAGATAGAGTTTAGTGAATATTGAAAAATGGATTAAGAACATAAATAATACGTTGAAAGTTAGGGAATAGAAAACAGAGAAACAATTAGAACGGCGAATTTGCAAAAGTGGAAGTTTTCTGGCGGATTATTATCTTACATTATTCTAAAGCTGGTTATCTCGTTTATGGTTTGGGGTATATAACTCTTCTAAACAGGCATACAGTGGCTATATATTAGGAGGTTGATTAGTTGTATGCTATGTTATCAAAAGCTTACAAAAGCTACAGGGAGGTTTCCTACAGTCTTTGTTTCCCACAGAATACGATCTTATGCACAAGACTTCAGTCTTGATATTGACATTACTGAGGACTGAGGAGCAAAAGAAGGAAAAGTTAGCTGCAAAAGCAAGTAAATCTGAGTGAAATAAGGGAAGAGGAGGAATTTGATGTTTAGAAGAAGAAGCATTGGCAGGAAAAGAGGGGAATCAGATTAGGAATGTAAGTAATGGAATATGGAGAAAAACTTTATGGGACTGCGTGAATTTTACAGCTTATGCTTTTACCTATTTATATATGTGTCTTTATAATTGAGTACTTTACACTTGTTCAATGTGGGTCACTAATGTGTACAACTATATTGACCTGTCTAACACTCGTCCCCAAGAGTTGATACACATTGTATATCCCGAGTTTGTACATATATAGCTAACTCGAGGATCAACAAGAAACTTGGTAAATATGTATGCAAGTTGATCATCAGACCTTACAAATCTCGTGACAGTATTCCTGAGAATATCTTTTTCTGTCGAAGTGACAATTAATCTCTATTTGCTTGGTCCTCTCATGGAATACTAGGTTTGAAGCAAATACCAGATGCATTTGTTTATCACAAACAAAGTTCCATTTGAGTGGTTTCTCCAAACTTCAATTCTTTCAATAGTTGTCTGATCCATATGTTTTCACAAGTTGCAGCTGTCATATCTCTATATTCAACTCCAGCACAGGATCTCGCCCGCACTTTATTTCTTGCTCTTCCGAGATACTAAATTGCCTTTAACAAGAATTCAATCTCCAGAGGTAGAGCGTGAGAGGGTGAAGCATCTGTATCCCTAACAATCTTCTCATGTCCTTGATTCTCATAAAGTAGCCCTTTTCTTTGAGCAGACTTAAAATACCGAAGAATACAGACTATTGTATTCCAAGGAGCTACACATGGAGAATTTAGAATCTGACTGACGTTACTCACTGAAAAGGCGATATCAGGCATATTACAGTGAGATAATTCAGTTTTCCAACTAATCTCCTATATCTCCCAGCATCTGAGGCTCCTGGTACCTGGCAAAAGCTTGACATTTGGATTCATAGAAGTATCAATAGGTCTATAGTTTGTCGTCCCTGTTTCGTGTTTCCTTAAGTATGTCCAGAGCATTCTTGCTGTGAAATGGCAATGTCTGATCTGGACTGAGCTGCTTCAATACCTAAGAAGTATTGTAATTTACCTAGGTCCTTGGTATGAAAATTCTGAGAGGGATGTTGCTTCAAGATTTCACTGCCCTCTTGATCACCGTTAGTGATAACTATGGAGACTACCAAAAAGATACACACATCAGAGTGAGAGTGTCGATAAGATACATATTGAACATTTTCGCTCCATGTCATGCCAAACTCTTGTATAACTATGCTAAACTTGGTTAACCATGCTCGAGGAGACTGTTTTAGGTCGAGACTTTCCAAAATGACTTCCACCTTGATTCCCCAGACTATGACGCAAAAACAGAAGAATCCATTGATGGTGAGGGGATCACTGTGTGACCTAGGAGGGGAACCAAGAGACCACCTCATCTGCTATAGTGATGAATATATGGAGGCCGTGTTTTCTACAACAATGGAGGCTTATTGGGCTCATGAAGGTGCCAATGGATTTGGAGAATTGGGCCACGGATTTAAAATGCTTACACTAATTAGCGTTAGTTGAATTGAGGCCCAAAACTTTCAAGAAATTGAAGAAGTCCCAGAATCCATTCAAGATTAGGATTTCTTTTCCTTAAAGATTGAAATTTCTTATTTCTTGTTTTCTAGTAATTTAATATTTGTGTTAGTAGGATTATATTTGTAGTTCTAGTCAAACTAGGATTGTTAGTTGGTATCCCATTCCTACTAGAATTCTTTTTCCTATTTTAGTTAGGATAAGTTTTCTTAGCCTTGTTCTTATTCTAGTTTAATTAGGATTTCGGCCTAATATGGAATAAAGGGCTTAATATGCTGAAAGTAAGCATTGGTGATTAGTTTCTTTGAGCATTAGCTTCAAAAACATGATTGATTTTTTATTTCATTCTTATTCCTTTATTCCACGCTTCTTGCAATCTTGCGGGATTGAAGAACGAGTGGGTAAGGTTCTTTTCATCTTACATTCTTCTAACGTGAGTTTGAAGAATGCTTTTGCTAGTTTTGTGAAAAACTTTAGCGGGGTGCTTTTTGTTTTTCTCTCTTCTTTATGCTTGAGAGATGCAAAACCTCGAAAGTACATCGTATAGGAGTAGTTGGATTAACTAAAATTTGATCTCCCATTGAGTTACGATCACTTGGAAGCCGAACAAGTGTAAGAACTAAGAACATCTTCTGTCACTATTCCAACTGTTCCTCAAAACTGGCAGTAACTTGCTTTAAGTTATTAAGATCCTTCATAACTGTTGAACTTGTCAAAATAAGTAGACATGTCTAATTCCTGCCTTTTCAAATTAGTCATTCTGAAAACAAAATCATAAAGGCAGGAAACATAGTTACTATGTAAAGCATGACTGTTTTTCCAAACCAAATAACAAGTTTGAAATAGTCAAAACAAGTCCATCAGCTTAGGATCAATAGAGTGCGACAAATAACTGCATAACTGAGCATCAATCTTTTTCTAATGTGTTCGGACCTTTTCATCAACTTTTGTAGCCTTTTCAGTTATCTTTGGCACCTTAACCTTACAGGATAACTCAATAGAAGAAGCCTATTAAAAAATAATACTAAGTTATTGAAAAACTAGCCAGAAAGTGAATAGAGGACTGTTGGTCGTTTGAAGGTGGCTTTGCAGAAAGTTTGAGGGAAGGATGCAAAGGTCTCAGACAAGCCCCACAATGTAAGAGAAAGGCAGAGTTGTTGCGGGAAAAGGGAGATCGCAGAGAAGTGACTGAACTACTACAAACATACTTCTGGTGGTCTGAAATTGCAGAAAATAGTATGGTTGGCCTCAAACCATCCAAGCGACCTCAAAGACCAAAGGTACAAGTCTTTAAGTTGCCGGAAATGGCTCACACGTTTGGTGTGTGAGATAGATCTCGCCAGACAATATGCTTGTGCCGGGTGTGGGGGAGCGCGTCACGTCTCCTTTTGTGATGAGTCTAGCTTGATTTTGCTAGCCGGAAATTGCCTGACCAAGTGATGGTGCTGGTTTATTCACAGCACACGAAAATAGAGGACAATTGAAACAACGCTCATTGTTGTCGGAAAATGCACGGCAACAGTCTTTCTTTCTCACGAAAGTTTTTGATAACTCTGCATAAACTATTTAGCCTCGCTCTGATATCATGTAAGAAATAGAACACGAGAGAAAGACTTTATGGGAATGAGTGGCTTTTACACCTTATACTTCTATGTGTTAATGTTCATGTCTTTACAATGAGTACTTCACACTAGTCAAATGTGGGACACTAATATGTACAGCCTATCTAATAAGGAAGAAGAAATCATGCCTCCTCCAGCTTTTTTTTTGGGGGGGGAGGGGTGGTTGCCAGGTGTGTGTGTGGAAGATCTCCCAAAAATTAAGTAACTCCTAAAAGTCTAACCAGAGAGGCAACTTGCTATCTTTGCACTTTTTTCAGAAAAAGAAAAAGAAAAGGATGTCACAGGAAAAGCTTCAGTGGGTAATTTCAAAACGGAATGTTTGGTGGCCACTAGAGACGGCTACTCCTTAATTACTTATCAAAAAAATGAAAGAAGAAAGAAAAGCTACTTACTCTTTTTCATCGTTTATTTGTGCTTTCTTGCTATAATGTAAACAACAGTATTTAGGATGCTGTTGTTGGATAGGGGTTAGGTCTACGTGCACTCTATCCTCCCCAGACCCCACTAGTGGGATTCTACTGGGTTGTTGTTGTTTAGTGTTTAGGATGCTGGATCTCTTTTAGTACATTTCATGCGTCAGCTTGATTATGGCCCAAGCCTCATGACCACCACTATTAGGTAGCTAAACACTATTATGAGATTAAATAATATCAGAAGTAGCTTCGGGAACTGGATAGTGTTTGGGATCCCATGGGAAACAGGTGGCGAGGGTGAGGCTTCATGTGCCCCTCTAAGGATCTCAAGCCTCGGTAATTAATGGTATTTGAATTGTGTGTCTGTCTTCATGTGTACAAAATTGCTGCAATTTCTTATTATCTTTGAAATGACTGGTTCTTGATTTTCTCTTGTAGGATAAAAAGGACAGGAGGATCCTAGAACTGTCGGCGGAGTTGGAGCATCAGGATAAATTATGTGACCTATACAGAGAGCAGCTAATTACTTTTTTGGAAAATGTTGAGCAGCAGATGGAGCTTTTGTCAAAGAAAATTGAAGTAGCTGTCAACAATGTAAAAGAAATAGAAGCAGAAGTTCAAAAGCCATCCAATAACCAGTAGCCATGTGTAAGTATTTAGATGTTGGTATGGTGTTATCCTTTTGTAGCTTGACAAAACATTTGATTACCCTAATCTGTCATTTTGGAAAAGTGGAGAACAAGAAGGAGAAACTGGAAAAGACAAGTTTTTCCGGAATGTTATGTCACGTTCTGTTCATCTAACGTCACTGAAATTTATTTCACTGGATTATGTAGCTTCTTGCTTGCTGGTTCAGATTTATATTGTATAAACTCAAATGATTTGGTGGAAGCTGATGGAATCTGCCTGCTACTAGTCCCCAGAATGTTAACTGCTCTTTATTTGGTCAAATGACGCTGAAGCAGTCTTAGTTTTTTGCTTACGAGCAATTGTAAAAGAACATGGACAGTGTATCAAGCAGAGCTTAGGAGATTGTTGACGCATAATTGCTTAGTTTACATTGTTTAAACTGGCTTTGGAGGTTATTGACGTATACTTGTGTAATTTACATTGCTTAAACTAGCTTTGGAGATTATTGATGTTTAGTATACATATATGTAAAGTTCGTTAGTGATGGATGCAGAGCATGATTTATAACAGAGGTAGTTTGTGGCCTTGTGGGTAAATAGCTAAGTGTACAGATTCTTATAATCCTATGCTATGGGAATTGACATGGTTCTTAAAGACTTCAATCACAGTTGATCTGAGCAGTAGCATTTTCTTACATATATTTGTAAGTCTTTTTTTTGCTAGTCTCTTTCAAACACAGATTCTCGAAAGAAGAAGAAAAAGAAAAATGAAAAATGAAATCCCGGATCACAGATGGCTCAATCTTTTATGCGAGCTTTATATTGAATAAAGTCAATAACTTAATCAATGTTATTTAACTTGTAATCCGAAAGGATTATCTTCTGATCTTTGTTTCTTGTTTTTTTAAATGTTTTTTGTGTCTAAAATTGATCTAAGATAAATGTCGGTCTAATTCAATTTAGTCTTTCCCTGAAATTGATATGTGGTGGTTCCCCATATGATCTCACATCATCAACGTAGTGTTACACTGATTTTCAGTTTTAGTGTATAATATAGTTAAACTCCTTCATCCGATCTATTACTAAAAGAGAAGAGGCTTTTCTTTGGCCTAAATCTGAAGTTTGGAACTTCAAGTAAGCTCTAACTTGCCTAGGCAATGAAAGATCTTCGATGAAGACAATCTGGTTCATGACCTTTTCACCAAACTAGCCATTTGGTTAGCAATCACATTTCTTCCCTAAATATATGAATAAAAAGGAACGATCTTCCTTATCAAATCCCTTATATGTGCCATAATCTGTCATGGAGGTCTGACTTTCTTATTGATTATATTAACCAACACAAGAGAATCAAATTNACAGATGTTGGGCCCCATCCCAGTTGCAGGCCTGGGCGTTGGGGGGAGGGGGTGTTGAGTTGTGTTCCACATCGGTGGGTTATGGGTATCTTGATCTCCTTATATGGTCTTGGGCAATCCTCACCCCACAAGATAGCTTTTGGGGTTGAGTTAGGCCCAATGTCCATTCTTATCTAGGTATCAAGAGCCATAGTGGCTTAACAACCATCATTTATTTTCCTGTTATTGTAGCACACCATGACTAAAGACATAGCCTCTTTAAGCAATACTATGATTTCATACCCTTCCATACCAAATCTTGCTCATCAACTGCCCGTAAAGCTCATGTCGTCGAATTTCCTGTTATGGAAGACTCAGTTTCTTCCCATGGTGTGTGGTTGTTGTCTTAACCATCATATTGATGGTAGCGCATCAGCACCAGCCGATTTTTTAGATGATAAACAATCTAATCCAACCTATAAATCTTGGGTTCGTCAAGATCAACTCGTGTTGAGTTGGATTGTTGCTTCGGTTTCGGAAAGTGTTTTACCACAGTTGGTTGGAGCAAAAACTGCTCGTGAAGCCTGGAAAAACTTGTGACAGCCTATGCGTCAGGTTCTAAGCCACAAGTTCGTGAACTAAAGACGCAACTGCATACTTTGCGTCGAGATAATGCCACCATTGAGAGCTATGTTCAAGGAGCCAAGGCGATTTCAGATAAGCTTGCTGCTCTGCAACACCCAATCCATAATGATGAACTAGTTGAGTTTGTACTTGCCGGTCTAGGCCCTGCATATCGCCCGTTCACAAGAGCCCTTGAATCTCGTCATGAAGATATTTCATTTGGTGCCCTTTATGGCATGTTATTGAACGAAGAAAGACAACTAAAAAGGGATGAAGCCCTTACTGTTATAGCTCCCACTGCTCATTACACTCAAAGCTCATTATCATCCACACAAGGCCTAGGTAGAGGCCGTGGAGGTGGAGGTCGAGGTCGTGGACGTGCTGGTGGTCAAGGATATTCCTAGCAATTCCAGAATCGTAACAATTTAAACTCTACTAGTACACAAGCAAAATATGACACTTCTGGAATTATTTGTCACAATTGCGAAGGCAAGGGTCATATCACACGAGTTTGCCCTTCACCTAAGTCTAATAATGGTCCTAGAGTTACTGGTCGTCCTTCTTCCAATTTAGCAAGCACTCCAACATATTCTAGATAGAACTGGTTGATGGATATTGGCACCACGCATCATTGAACAAATGATCTTGACAATTTAGCCATCCATTCTGAGTATCAAGGTCTAGAGGAAGTAACCTGTAGGTAATGATTCAACACTGCCCATCTCTCATATTGGAAAAAGTTCTATATCTATTTCTAATCGTAAATTTTCTCTTGATAACATTCTTCATGTTCCACATACCAAACAAAATTTATTGTCCATTAGTTCTTTTACTACCTCTAATCGGGTTTCTATTGAATTCTTTCCTAATTACTTTTTGATTAAGGATTTGAAAACGATGGGCATTCTTCACATAGGGCCAAAAGATGATGGTTTATATGCACTCCCAGCTCTGCAGTCGTGTCTCTCACTTGCTTCCTATGCTGCTTCATTTGGTGTCTAGCATGCTCTCTTAGCTCATGCCTCTTATCCTACTGTCCGTTGGGCACTGCCATCTTAAGTTATTGTTTTTCTACTTATAAGTCTCCTACTTTATGTTCAGCTTTTGATGTTAGCAAGAGTCACAAAATTCCTTTTGTTGAGTCAGTTTTAAGGCCAATGGCCCTTTAGATTTGATTTGTTCTGATGTTTGGGGTCCGACCCCTGTTACTTCCAATGATGGCTATCACTATTATGTTATGTTCTTTGATCATTTTAGCAAATATACCTGGATTTATTTTCTCCAATTTAAATCTGAAGTATTATCCGTCTTTATCTAATTTCGGACAATTGTTGAAAAATACTTTGGTCGCCCTATCAAATCCTTTCAAGCAGACTGGG